TCTCTTCTCTGTGTCATCTGACACATTTATAACATTGGAAGATAGTATATTACTGTGGATGGAGAATCAACCATTTAGCCCACAGACTTCATTGAAACATTTCCAGCAATATTATCTGGTAATAGGACCTTTATTTATTTATTTTAAATATTTTTTTATGATATGAAAAGGAAATTTTTAAAATGCTTTTTTTTCAAGAGCTTAAAAATGACCCTTGGTTCTAAGCTTTTTTACAAGCATCAACTAATAGGTAAGAACTTACTTCAGTCAAAATGTGTCTAGAAACAAATACTAAATTAGAGATCTGATGTGATGATGTTCATTAACTCAGTGCCTGAAAGAGGCACATGTAACCCTGGGAGTGCTGGTGCCCGCAGTAGGACTGCAGAGAGTGAAGGAAACAGCATGGACCAAAGTTGGGACAGCTGGCAAGGGATGCCCTGCAGCACTAAAGGTAGTCAGCAGGCCATGCCAAAGGAAGAGACACTTCTAAAATTCAATCTCTTACTCTATTTAGGACCTGCTAGCAATGTGATGACCATGATCAATTCCTACGGTACTAGAGCTTTTACACCTTAGATGAAATTCAAGTTTCCTGTGCTGTCTATACATTTGTGTCAACAACTTCTGCTTCACAAAAATCGGGCTCAGAGGTTCTGGACTGCTGCAGTCTGGAATCTGAGCTCACAAAAATCAGCAACTCTCAATGTTTCCTCATCCAAATTCACTATTTTTAGGTTTGCACAAGGCAGACAAGTCATCAGGGCAAGGGGCACCACACGACATAGGTACCACTAAAGGACTTCTCAGGCAGGACACCAGGGATTTATCTTGATCCTTATCCCTGAAATGAGTTGAAACTATTCAGGCTGAAATAATCAATCAATGTCTTCTCTTTCTTACATTCCAATCCTAAACCTAACCTTCCTGTCTATCCTGACACTGGCTGGCTTATAACCTCTCCATCTGCCCACAGCCCTTATTTACCTTACAGAAACCCCACATGGAGGGACTGTCGTTATGGATGTATCCACTAAAACCAGTGTCTCTAGCAGCTACTCTACATCCCAATTTCTCTCCATCATCTCCCCCACCATGTGCGAAGACAAAGTCTGTCATAGCTGGGTACAGCAAAAGGGATTTATGCTGCAACAGTCAAGTTCCTATTTTATGCAGCAGTTTAATGTGCCTTTCCCACTATTCTGTAGTTACTGCCTCTTTCTTATCCTCTTTTTATCAGCCTGTCACCTTCTTGATGACAAGCCGGTACACCTCGTCATTCAAAAAACAAAAATCTTCAGGTCAAAAAATCTGTGTTTGTGAACTACATATCAGACTTCTTAGCTGTTTGGTAAGAGTTTGAATGCTCCTGGTCCGGCAGCAGTGAAGTAAATAAGTGCATATTCTGGGATTCACAGGAAAGGGCACTGCCTCATTGAATGACTGCAACTATTATTGGTAATTGTTTTTCAAGAACTCTCACATTAACATTATATCGTGGCAAGCAATTTAACGACCTCTCAGGATGATCATTCCAACAATAAAAAGATACATAAAACAAATTTGCCAAAATGCAGTCATGCATGTCCTGAAATGAAGTATCAATCTATGGAATTGCTCTGAAAGAAGATAACTGACTAATATCCTTGACAGTGGGTTCCCAGTGCTCCTAGAGTTGTGTAAGAGCCTATCACAGCCCCAAATGTCTTCTTCATGAAGGTCGACTGCACTATAGTGCATTTATGACCAGTCATTTTCTCTCTAGTTTCCAGATAAGCATTTGAACAGACCATGCATTTTTTCCTCAATCGGCTATTCTCAGCTAAAAAATTGTTTTAGAGATCCTGAGCAATAACACAGCCCTTGGGAGAAAAGCCTTCCTGCATTAGCCATCTGACTGACACCATGAATGATTGCATCCAAGCATTAAATTTAATGAGATTTCTACAAAAATGAGTGACATCTGCATAGCACTCATGTCCTGGCTAACTGTCATACATTTGTCATCACTGAGGCCTTTGTCCTTTATTAATCCACTTTCAAGAATGCCTGCTGTTGGAAATTGAAAAGCTTTTTAGCAGTCACCCTGCAGACTGTGTAAGAGCACACATCTCCGAAAGCATAATGACACATTGTCATGCCTAGGAATGCATTTAAAATATTTAAAAAACATGAGAGAACTCTGAAAACAAAATATATTGAGAATTTACCAGGGTATGTCTGAATAAATATTATTTTACATCCTTTAATATAAGCAAGGTGCATATTCTTTTGTTATAATATAGTGGCTAGAAACTCTTTAACAATATTCAGAGTGCATGGGAGAAATATTGTTATAAAGGAAATGTACTAAAATAGTTCCCTTTAATTTTGTTTGTGCTTGGGACCATTATGCAATTCTGGGCCTAGGGCTCCAACCCAGTAAAAGCATATGATTGTATCAAAATCCCAGCTTTCCTCTAAACTTTCCCTCATGGCTACAAATAAAAATTTCACTAATATTTTCCTACATCAACAGATAGCCCGAAACAGTAGAGGATGGAGATTGAAGAATCATCCTATTTTATTAAATTAGCCCCAGGACTTTCTCTTCCTAGACAAAGATCTGACCTGGTGCTTCCCAGCAAAGAATAACAAATATTTGGCAGGAGTGCAGAGAACACATCTTTCCGCCATGCTGTCTCCAAGGAAGAAAAGCAAGGCATTTCCACTGGAAATGAAATGGGACTCTGGAAGACCAAGAGTGGCAAGGTGTCCAATGGGTGGCACCATCTTATTCCAGTCATTGTTTGTAGCTTGATCAAAGGCACTGACAGCAGCAAAGTCACACCTGGTGAGTGAGCAGAGGAAGGAAGAGGAGAGATTCCCAGCAGCGAAGATGTTAATTGCCCATGGAAGCAGAAAACCTTGTTCCTTTTTCTTCCTACGGCCCAGAGCCATACCCTGAGCTCCTGTGAAGACTGCAGTGTTTTGTGAAGACAATATTTTTCCATCATGCATCCATAGTACTAAAATTCACTGAATTGAATCTCCTGAATTTCATTTATTTCTCTTTCCTGTTGCTATTATTTCTAAATGCCACATATTTCCAACATTTTATTGTCAATTAGTTGCTTGTAGATCATTGCCAAGCCAATAAGGCAAGTGAATAGCACAATTTGCTCTCTCATTTATAGGATTCAATGTTTCTGTCACTCTGAAGATATTGAATCCAACAATTCCAAAATTCTGATCCTACTGCTGTCACAGTTCATGTAACCATGTTTTAGTGGAAGGCATATCAGAGAAAACATAAAGCTGTTTGCAGCTGCTAATGATAAAAAATCGCAGTATATGCAAATACTTCAATTAATGGGGTTTTTTAGCCTTTGATGTTCAGATAAATTTGTTTCTACTCTTGGACTAAGAAACCCAGCCAGTACAAGATTTGATTGCATGAAATAGCACTAAAATATAAAAATGCTAAACTCCGTACTGCAGAAATACTGACTGCAACTTCCTCTTTAATGGGAGGTACCAGATTCCTGTTTGCCACCTTGATTTGCAGGTACTGAGCTCTGACATTTCAGCAAGTGGGACCACACCCCTCACCAGACCTCAGAGGAATGGAGGTTTTCAAAGATCCTACTGATATGTTCAAGAAGCACTGGGCTCCCTCAAAAGAATACCAGCAATGGCTTTCTATCAATAAAGTTTCGTTCCCTTCCTACAGTTCTATTTTGGAAGAAAGAGTCCATTAGTGCATTTCTGAATTCACTGTCCTCCATCTGTGTAGGAGCAGAAGCAAAACATCAGCCTTCAATAGCAAGAAGATGGAAAACAATTAGAAGGGCCTTGGATGCCAAAAAATATCTATTTTTCATAAACAATTATATCTATTTATAATAGGAATATTTTATGGAAGTATGAAGTTCAGTCCTCCAGGACTTATATAATCTTTTAACTATGAGAAACCAAAACAAAAAAGTCCATTTTGCATTTACAGATGACAGAGACACACATTTTCCCCAAAACATCTGGTTAAAAACAACCATGGAGAAGAATCCTGAACCTTCAAACAAGATAAACTTCCTTCCAATTTAGTTCAGCAAGTGTAAATGGACAATGTTTTCAAACACCAGCCATATCAATCATCAAGAAGAATAAAATCAGAAAATTATGGATGGGAGTGGGATGTTACAGCCACATTTTTCTTTGCAAAGTCATGTTTGTTACCAGGGACCTCACTTATTGCAGCAGTCACATGGCCTATACAAACAGTGATTGGCATATTCTCATTTAGAGCAGCTAAATGGAAAAAAAATCCTTTACTTCTCATATTATTAAGTTTTCATATGATTTTTGTTGGGTTTTAATGACCTCTAAATAATTTTCAACTTTTAAAATATTTGGGTTCGGGTTTTTATTTTAGTTTTAGTGGCTTCCAATCAAACAGTTAATGGACTTCCAGCAGGAATCCAGGTGCCTTTCCTGAGTGAGTGAATTTGAGATAATGGATGAGTGATGTATTCTTGATTCACAAATTGATAGGTATTAGTAATATTATTGTCCTTCATGAAGAACATCCTCCTTCATTTTTCTTCCTATTTGTCTTTCCCTCTGATAAGTCACACAAGGAGAAGAGATGATTGTGACTGTGCAGTGAAGCCTGGATGCTTCCTAAAGTTCCTCTTTTTTTCCCTCTAATTTTAGGTTCAGAACAATTATAATGGAGTTTTGGGGGCGTTTTTTAATCTGTTTCTATTTTTAGTTCTTCTGCTGCCCATCTGACAAGTTAATTGATGTTCACTCACGCAGCATCTAAAGAATAGCAACAATCACAATTTTCCATCAGCAGCCATGGAAACGAGGTATCTCCATGATGTAGTACTGTGTATCTTGGCTCTTGTATTTCATGGATATTGAACTCCACTGGGTCCCTACAGAATGCACCTCCTGTATTAATGCTGCACATCCACGATGATGGTGCAGTCTGTTTGATTATTCCACTTTATTTCTAGGTCCTCCTGGTCCCCCAGGGGTTGTAATAGTGGAGGAAATTACAGACACAACAGCAACACTCTCCTGGAGTCCTGGGGCAGACAATCACAGCCCTATCTCCCTCTACAACCTGCAAGCACGCAGTCCATTTTCTCTTGGCTGGCAGACCGTAAAAACAGGTGAGAAAAATTTTCAAACAGCACAAGTAGACTGTTCAAAACTCCTGATCATAACAGTAATAATCACTGGCAACCACAGGAACAGATACTCATAAGAAAACAATGACAAATTAAAATCACTGATTTTTTTTTCTTTTTTTATTCCTTTTGTGTTACTTAGCAACAGCTCTGAAAGGACAGCACAAAGACACCTGCCACGATGCATCTGTGAATAAGCAGAAAGCTCTCCCCTAAATCCTTCAATCTGTGTCTTTTCAGGAATACTGCAGTGCCAAAACTCTAGCTGCGATTTCTGACATATTAGATCCCTGATGTCAATCATTTCTAATGACCTCATTGCACCACAAATTCTGCTTTCTATTGAGATACTGCATGTCAGCTTCAGCTTTCTGAGTGACCTATACGTTTCTTTACTGTCTGCAGTTCCAGATCTGATAAGTGGTGACATGGAGTCTGCTATGGCTGTGGAGCTGAACCCTTGGGTGGAGTATGAGTTCAGAGTAGTAGCAACCAATAAAATTGGGACTGGAGATCCAAGTGCACCATCACGAGTGATCAGAACCAATGAAGCAGGTAAGGAAAGGATTAAAAGGTTATTTTTACACCAATACCAGAAACAAGAACTGCTTAATATAATAATAGATCTAATATCTTTTCACTGGTACACATCTTTGTGTCCAGTAATCACTGTTCTAAGGCAATATTCTTTGTAGTTAGGGGACCCAGAGTTTGTTTTAATTACAGAAATATTGTTTAACTTATAGAAATATCAAAAAAAGCTGTTCTCTGGTCTGAACTCCCTTACTTTTTATCTTACACTTAAGCCATTGCTGTCGTCCCTCTGATAAACTACTCCTGCTCTTAAATTAGGCTGTTTTGCAGTCTCTTCAAACACTGCTCCTAAGCATCCTCTTCTCCCAATTTTTTCACAACTACTCTCACTGACAGTTCATGGAATTTTTTCAGCAAGATAGGGAAGTCATAAAAAGCTGCTTAATTTAAAATATCTTGTATTCTAAGTGTCTCTTTGTCTTGCACACTCTACTGTGAACAGTTACTACATTTTACATTGTATTTCTAATTAGGATGATACTGTGGGAGACCAGAAAAACAAAATGCCCTATTTGGGTCTCTTGAAAGTTACAAAGGACTCATAAGGTTTGGAATCATTGACAATAACTTGGGTGGAATGAAGGAAGATAAAGAAGATAAAAAGACTGGGAATCTGAGAAAAATACCTAGGGACTCAGAAAGACATGTTTTAAGAAGCAGAAAGATATAGGATTTGGACAAAGCCTCAGATGAGAACTATATGTCTGATCACTTTCAGATTACTTTGTATTCTTCCTTGTTATTTAGGATGCCTAGAGAGATCATTTTGTGTTTTGATGTTTCATCAGTTGAATAATTTTTAAGCAACTCGTTGCACCACTGTGGAGACCTCATGCCTGCCTCCCCAGTGACCTCCCCACAGGCACTGGGAGCTGCTTTAGGTGCCCCCAAGAGCACCTCTGCTCTGGGCTGAACAAGCCCAGCCTCCCCAGCCTTTCCTCACAAGGCAACTGCTCCAGCCGCCCCTCCACCCCAGTGGCCTCCCCTGAGCTTGTACGAGTTGATCAATGTCTTTCACACTGAGGCACCCAAAATTGGATGCCCTACTTCAGATGAAGGCTAACAAACCTATCTGCAGTTGTAATAAGACATATTTATATTTTCATACTTTAAAAAACAGTACAGTTCCTTAGCTGACATTAAATATCACTGTACAATCACAGAACAACACTGAAGTGATTTGATTCCCATTCACCTGTTGAAAGATGCTTCCTTTCAATCTCTACCCCTCACCTTCTGCAAGCTCCCCACAATGGGAAACTCAACTTGGTAGCAGAAGCTTCAGATGCTCTCTACTTTGTTCCATTAAGAAAAGGAGGAAATGAAAATGAAATAAAAAGCACAAGGTAGTTTCATCTCAAATTATTCTTTAAAAAACTTCCCTTTTTTCTTTCCTTAATTTTATACCATATTTTGCTGGCAGTAAAAATTCTTCTGGACCCTAATATTTGAACAACTTTTCTATTTATTCAGATTATACATATCAGAGAGGACAAAAACATTCCAGAAAAAGTTTATCCTGAAATAGGTTGCACTTTTGGTATTATTCTCTTTCAGACTGAGGAATATTTTCCCTGTTTTTACACGGATGGTTCAGTATTTTAATCTACCCTCTGTAGTTAAACTGTGGACTTAAGTTTTTCTGACAAACTGAAGTTTGAAAATGCTAGATTTGATCCAGCTGTCATGTTTTTAGGCTCCTTCTTCTTCTTCTTGCCCAATGTTTAACAAACTAAGTGCTATTTACTAAAATATATTCTCATAACTCAAGTGAAACTCTTCTTAATGCATATTCATTTTCAATATTCTTTGCCACTTCACCTCTCTAAAAATGAATTGATAAATCATAATATTGATCAGAAAAATCAAAATTGTGGGAAAAACAAAGCATGCAGTGTGTGATGAATTTTCACCTAGTGCTTGGTATTGGTTTCTGAGTAACATTCCACCGCTATTACAGTCAGAAAGAAGAGTCTTTAACTCAATAAACAATCTAGAATCTGCACAGAGATGTTAAATTGGAACAATAAAACAATGGATTCTGCTTAAAATAAAGAACAAAAAAAAAAATAAAAGAAAACCCCAAACTGTTACACATATAGTTCTTTGAAAAATGGCATACTGCACATAATACGTATGGCTCTCTTGAAATGTCAGAGCCTTCATGATCACCTTCATTCAGGCAGACAGTTTTTCCTTAAATTCACTCTGTTGCCTCTGTATTCTGAAATGCCTTTCACTGATTTTGGGAATTTTCACACTTGGTATAGCTTTCAGATACCAAAGAGACAAGAAACCAGTAATAGTTTTAATTGGCTTACAATAGTTTTTATGTGGATTTTCAAATTAGCACATCATTGCCTATCTTAGTGAACCCATTGATCCATTATTTTTCACAATCTCTCTATTACTAATTTTTTATCTGAAAGCTTCAAGGGAAATTGCCTATTAGCATGATGCCCAGTTCTAATATCATAGTTCTCAATTCTGAAAGAACATTTATGTGACAGGCCATATTTCAGAAAGAACATGGCATGAACCTTTCTACTCATGACCCAGGCAGAATATCCTGGCTATCTGCACTGATGGTAGATGAGGCCCACAAGTGCAAACAGGCAGGTGGTGCCTGCACTGGGTGGAAATCCAGAAATATTTATCTCCTAGATGAGAAAGTAATTGTGACTCATGTTCAGATAAGAGTTGAGACCCAAGAGTTAAGTAGCTGTGTAGACAATCCACAGAGGCAGCAAATATGTGATTCCAGTTCCATTATTTTACACTTAAATGGAAATCTGCATCTGTAGTTTAATGGCACATGAAAATTTGACTGGAGACTAAAGTCTTTTTTTTATCCCCACATTTCACTTATTTTATCACTCCTTATGCAAGATAATAACAACACCTTATATTAGTCGATTATCTAAAAATACCTATTAAAATAATAATTCAAATGGTATAAGGAAACCAACAGAATAATAAACAAGTTTTCACTCACTTTAATTTTTTAATTAAACTGTAATCTTGTTACTTAGCTCATATTTAGTTAACATGATTGCTTTTCATTGCTACTTCCATTGGAACAGATAATACTGCAAATTTCTGGCAAATCTAACTTACAGCCAGCTGCTGCATCTCTGTCAGTTCTAGCCTTGATACATATTTTACAGGTCCACAAGTTGCAAAGAGCCAATAACATGAATTTAAACATGTCTGGCATTCCACTAAGACAGTCGGGGCATTTGAAGCCTGGGGGAAAAGCATCAATTACATTATCTATTCATGGGGAAACATGCAGAGAGAGAAATTGAGTAGAATCAAAGTTTAACCTGTTAATCATGCATGCAAACTTGAATTTATGAGGTAACAATGTAATGCACTCTATTAGTAGCAGACTACACTGGCTTTATTTTTAATAAGTCCTTATGTTCCATTAAGCTGTCTTTATTCTCAGCTAGAATTCCTTCACAGCATAACAAGAAATGTCTCTGTCCCAGGAAAAAGGTTGACCATTTTAGACCAGCTTTATATTTGGAGGGCTTTGTTATTGGAGTTACTGTTTTATTTGTGATTTGTATGAAAGAAGTTTCAGCTTTTCCCATTATCAAAACTATTTTTGCACTAGAAAAAAAACAAACGGATAACCTGCTGGATCTGGGACATTTGCAGATGATGGCATGGCCTACTAAAGCCTTTGTAGAAAATGTGCTTTTTTCCATGAAGAAAAACAAAAGGAGAAAGTAGGCTTATAATCACTGACTGGAGGCTTCTTAGACTTTGGATTGCAGGCTCAAACAAATATTGACAAGGAATCCAAATGTGTGTGTGACAGAAGATGGAGCAGAAAAATACCTACATTTGTCCTATAGCATCTGTGTATGCCACAGCATTCAGGATTCCAGCCCTCTAGGTGGTGATTTGGAGATTATTCAGGCAGAGTCCTGCAGTCACATATCACCCTCATATCCATGAGTAGAACTCATAATGAATTCAACCTCATAATTAATTACAAATATTAGTAACACAGAGGAAATTAGAACAACATTTCAGATGCTGAGATCAGTAGGGACATCCTTATTTTCCAGTAGTTGAATATGTACGTCCACTTCTGAGATGCTGGCATGTTGTGCATTTCATTCCTGAGCAGGTGAAATGTGTCTTGTTATTCTGGGAGGGTGACAACTTGTGGGCTGGTCTTTCACAGAGTGAAAGCATTTTCACTTAACACCCTCCTGTTTCCTACATGTGTACTGCAGGAGATATATAGAGATACACACACTCACATACATGCATATAGAGGGAGAATGGAAAGCAGCTGAGAAAAAAAAACTGAATGTGTTATAACTTTGATCTCACATGAAGAAGTCCTGCCAAGCTGGTGACAAGCCCTCCTTCCCCTGCCTGTACCTTTTCTACAGCTAAAAAGTATTTCTTTTCAAACTCCCTCTGTATCTTAAGTTATAAAAAGCTTTAAAATAAATAAGGAACAGCAACTGTACCTTGAGCAAAGGTACAAGTCATTTCTTGAGGACTAAAGCCAAGTTTATTAATTTATCTCCAAAAAAAGTTTAGCAATATCCATATTTTCCATCATTTTTCTTTATTTGACAAAAGTTTCAGAATCTATACAAAAAGTATGCACGTGGAAAATATCTTTAAAAAATAGAGGATTCAAGCAGAGTGAGAAAGATCTTGTGAACTAAGTATGGAATTGGGATTTGGGAAATCTGGACTCATTTAGTTATGACAAAACTATAAATTTGAGTTTCTCAGCTCAGCATCTCTTAGTCTAAAAACAGGACTTTAGGAAGACTCTTACTTCTCTTTGTCTTCTTTTTAGCTCATCTATTTCCTTTTAAAGGATAGGGACCAAAGCTAGATACAGGTTTCTACTGCAAAAATGCAATCAATTATATACTCAATTGTAATTAATTATAATTTTGACTGCTAAATACTTTTGTTCTACCCAAAAACTAAGATGGTCTGTAAAATTAAGAATCTGTATTTTTTTTCTTGGTAATAAACAAAACACATTTAAATAAGCCACTAGACATTTCCTTGGGAAAAAAAAAAGAAAGCAAACAAACCAAAACACAAAACAGAAACACTTTTAAATTATTAATTATTCATTCAATAACATTTATAAAAAATCTATTTACAAGACCGGAATGTTAAAAAGAGTATGAACTTACAAGAACTTTCAGCTTTTCCAGATTCAGTGTGATATTTTCCTTTCTATTAGGAAAGGAATCTAGAGCTAGTTCAGAATTTTTTTTTAGTTCATTCACTGATGTAAAAGAACAGAATGTAAAACTGCCTTTAAACAAAATGCTTATTTATTTTCTTTAGCAAATTAGAAGAAAAATAATAATTTTGGATTAAAATTAAAAATCTGTAAACTCAAGCTGAAATACACTCCTCTGTCTTTCTAGTTTTAATTTTTGCATTTTTAAAAACTGAAGCAAAAGTCAAATTTTAATTTTTTTCAAAGTCAAATTGCTCTGTTTCATTTGTTATAATGTGAAAATTAAATATTTAATAAGTATTAATATTTTTCCCAAAACTGAGTACCAAAAATCTTTGAATCAGTTCATCTTTGCAGTCCAACATTTTCTTTTTAAAAAAAAGCAAAAACATCTAAACCAACAAAAACTCCACAGTTAATCCATCAGCCATGCAGACTGAAGAGAAAGGAATTTTTAAAATCTAATTAAATCACTATAAAGCACAGAGCACTTTTCAAAACTTTGGACATTGTGGAAGTCTAGAAGGAAAGTGAACATCTACCCCATAAGTTTGTGGTTTCATAGCTACAGTATTACCCACCATTTCAAAAGCTTCCCCATTTAAATGTTTTACATTTGAATATAGGTTTAAAATATACAGATGACACCATCAACATTTTTCAGCACTTTATAACTGCTGTTCCCAAACACAAAACCCTCAGCAATAGCAATTCTGTGTATGTATTTTATCCTAAATTAAAACTCTCTGCTTTTCTTCCATATTTAGCTTCTAATGATAAGATACACATGAATTATTAAACAGTTGTCATGGCTTCATGTATAAGCTTTATCCTTCCATATCACCTTTTCTTCATTTATATCTGAAGTATCTTGTCAAATGCTTTGTAGGACTGCTGAGGGCTATATTCTCTGTGCCTGATCTTAGAGAAAAAAAATGGGGTTTTTGTTTGGTTGAGAGGAGATAAGTTTTAATAGAGTTTAATTTAACTTTTATTTCCAGCATATCACAGTAATTTCACAAAAACAGAAAACAGTAAGAAAAAAATCCTGCTGTTTGCATTCAATTGGAACTCCTGGCACATTCATTTCAAGATTTCTGGGTTTTTTTGTGCTAAGTGCAGGGCTGTATTTATTCACGAGGGAAACTACCAAACTTCTCAGCTTCAATAAACCCTAAACAAAATAGGTCCCAGTGTCTTTGTTCCCAGGCACATGTATCCTATTTCCAGGAGCCATGTTTAGACATCATATTCGTGTATTTGATGCAAGTGCCTCTCCATGAATGCCACTGCTGAGAATTAACTGCATAAAAATTGGGAAGTCATTAATTGCATAGCAACAAACTTAGGCCATGAGTGAGTAAATTCAGATATAACATTGATATAAAGGAGAAGGTGCAGAAAGCATGGCTAATGTACAGCCTTGGTGCCTGGCAAAAAATGTTTTCTTTTAATAGTTTTCTTCACTTAATAGTTATTCATTTCAAACTGTCTCCCTCTAACTGTGTATACTCTGCTTTGCTGCAGTGCAGAGGAAATTTATTCTTTTGACACATTTATTCTTTTAATGGTTATTCATTTGAAAGAGTTTCACTGTGAGAGTGTACATTTTAGTTTTGTGCAAAAGAAATTCATCCTTTTGACAGTTTTATTCTTTTAACGTTTATTCATTTAAATAGGGCCACAGTCTGCAATGCTGTTAACAAGAAAACTCTAGAAAGAGGGTGCTGCAGGTTAAATAAGTCCATCATGTTGGATGCTTCAAAGGAATACAGCATACTCTCTCATTTCTAATGTGGCAGGCACCTACATAAAAACTCCATTTGTCTCTATAATTTACTCAAAAATACCTTAGAGAGGCAAGAGAAAAATGGGTGCTAAACAAGGTTTAAATATGCTCCATTAGAGATGGCATCATAATTTTTGGATGTTAATTAACTGTCAGATGAGGCTTCATCTGCATCTTTTCATGCTAGAACATTCATCACACTGTTGCACATTGATTGCATTCTTTCTACTCCTTCTTTAAAGCCAGAGGAAAATTCTGTTTCTGAAAGGAAAAGTTCATTACCTTTCTGCCATGTCAGAGGGAGGCAGGCAGGCAGGCAGGCAGGCAGGCAGGCAGGAAGGAAGGAAGGAAGGAAGGAAGGAAGGAAGGAAGGAAGGAAGGAAAGCACCATATTTACCCGGTGAACACAAGTTTATTGGAGAGAAAACACACTAGAAATCTCCCTAATCAGTCTGCTAAGAGCCACAGATGAAATAACACCTACCTCATGTCCAACAGCATGAATCAGAATCAACCCGTACACTTTGTAGGATTGCATCATTTACGAGGAAAAGCAGAATTGGGCTTCTGTTCTCTATAGGAGAGTTCAGGGTTCAAAAATGAACCCAGATGAATTCTGAAGCCTTAGGTGGATAGACAGGATCTGATAAAAACTGCGTTTCATTGAACTCAAGCTAGCAATTGCACAGGAAACATAGAGGACTGTGTACATTTATTTAAATGCATTTTATTTTGTATAGTTCAAAGGCACAGTGCTTCTCACTAAATAAGCTAAACAACATGCAATAAGGCCTAAACACTTAGCAGCTCACAGTACATTTCTACCAATGACCTATGTACTGCTGAAAAGAAGAAAATAAAAAGTTTGTATCTTAGGACATATTTAATCAAATGAAGAATGCAGGTATTGCCTCCTCACAGTAAATAAATGCAAGACTTTGGCCGTTTGAGGAGTTTTGTTAGAGGCACTAAACAGGATTTAAAAAATCATACAATTCCTATGGAATAACTGACATTTCTTTTTCTGCAAAATATGATAATCCAAATAAAAATGATGATGACAGTTATAATTTACTTTAAAGAATTTCATCCATTGTTCAGGTGCTTTAAAGCTGCAATGATGAGCTCAATTTTTCAAGAACTGTGGGTAGTACTGCTTCCAGCATTTTGCAAGAAACCATGAGGGATGTTTGAGGCTGTTTGCTTTAAAATTTCTGAAAGTTGGCTCCCTGATAGAGCAATGAAAAATAGATTTACAATAATTAAAACATTCTAACTACCTGAAAAAATACTTGAAAAATAATAAAGACATTATTAATTATGTCCCAAGATTTCACCTGAAATCTGAAATATGTCAGGTTTCCTGGCATATCAATTTGTTTTTTAAAGAAAGATTTACAAATTTGCAAAAGACCTAGTGCTTAAACACTTTTTATTCCAATATTATTTTCATTCTCATCTTATGCTTTGTTTCATTTTTCTAGCTTCTGTTTGCAACTCTCTGAAATGAAGCTTGAGCAAATTTTCTTTACCACAGAGTGCTATGTTTTTATTTCTGTTCTGATTTAACAGTCTCATGTCTTCTGCAGCAACTTATTACTATGGGGAAAACTTCAATAACTTGGATATTCTGTTTTGTTTTGTTTTGTTTTGCTTTATTTTTCCTGTCTGCCCACAGTGCCAAAGACACCTCCAGCTAACGTAAGTGGCAGAAGTGGAAGGCGACATGAATTAGTAATAGCATGGGAGGTAAGGGATTTTTCTGTTTAAAGGTTTTGTTTCATGTTAACTTCTTTGAGGCCAAAGTAAAGAGTACTCCACTGGGGTTTCCTTACAACAAATCTTGTCAACACACGAACACAAAATACTACTCTTAAATATGTTCTAAAATTTCAAATGACTATGGATTTTCATGAGGTTTGAGTAGAAGACATTATGGCATCAGCTCCAAAGTTCTACTAATTCATCAAGCTTTTCTTCCTGATCTACTGCTTGGGTTAATTTGATTTTTCTGGATCTTATGTAAACACCAGATAAAATTATGGCTGAGAGAAGAGAAGAAAGACTTGTAAAATTTTTGAAAGATTAGGTGAGGAAACTCTCTTAGAAGGTTCCTCTTAGGAAGCACTTGTCCTTATGAGGACAGGTATGCTAAGTAAAATCCTATAATGGAACTGTGACTTTTCTCTAAATTAGTAAAACTATTTCCGATCATAATTAAGTTTCTGAACTTAATTTTTCAGCCAGTGTCAGAAGAGTTTCAGAGTGGAGAAGGATTTGGATATATTGTAGCCTTCAGACCCAATGGAACACGTGGCTGGAAGGAAAAAATGGTGACATCTTCAGATGCCTCAAAATTCATCTACAGAGATGAAAGTGTGCCACCTCTGACTCCTTTTGAGGTGAAAGTTGGTGTTTACAACAACAAAGGAGATGGTCCCTTCAGCCCTATTGTGGTCATCTGCTCAGCTGAAGGAGGTCAGTTCAACATGAAGTTAAATTGCATATTGTGAACTATATTAAGCCTTTTATATATAAAGCATCATCTTTTAGCACACATTTAAACCTTAAGTTACAAATTTCTTTGCAGAAGTGCTAAATAACATTAAACAGGTTTTACAGAGAAGGAAGTGAACAAAAGATGACCTGGAAAGCAAATTACAAAATTTAGGAATAGACTTCAAGCCACATAAAAAAAAAAGAAAACAACTTTATCCTTCATATGAAATCATTAGCCTTAATTTTAGACAGGTTTTCTTCAACACTGAAAAAAGAAAGGATGTTATTTTTTAATATTTCTGAGATTCATGATCCTTTTTTTGATAGGTTAATGAGACAACAGCTCAAATAATAAATAAATTCACTTACAAATGTTCATTTCCTAGCTAATGCATTCTAAAAGTGCACAGAAATAAATTCTGTTTCCATTTTTATTTCATTAGTAGAAAGTTCTGACTTTGCATTAATATCCTAGTCTTCAATGTGAATTATAGGAATAGCTCCCAAGAACAAATGAAAAATATTTCTTGAAAATTTCTATTGAGAATTGCTATAAATTCAAAACATTATTTTTGAGGGGCAGAAAAGAACCAAAAAGAAACAACCAGCAAGCACTAATTGGTACTAGTGAAAAAAGTTGTTCTGTTTTGACTGGACCCAACATATGGAAATTCCTATGGACAAAAAAGGCAAATAAATGTTATCCACAAGAATATTTTCAGAAGCTCCATTACTGAAACTCGTAAACATCAGTTTTTCTTTACTATACTATTTGAGTCATTCTACTGTCTCCTATTAAGGGAATAAAATTAGCAGATTCCTAGTGCAGATGAGAGGAATTTCATACTCTCACCATGAAAAAGTAATGTGAAGATAATAATATTTCATATGAAGCTGGAAAACATTAAATGTTGTTTCATACTAACCCACAGTAATATAAATTTAAAACCATGATGTAGCAGACACTGCTATTCTCTCACAGTAATTACAGAGGTTGGAGCTTCTAGTTTTGCTAAAAGCAGTCCCAATAATTTGGTTTTTTCCACTTTTTGAATCAGGATTACCAAGTAGACATATTTTTATAAAAACAATTACATTTTAAAATGTAAAAATTGCACAGTACAACTTAAAAATTGTACAGTTGACTTCCGTGTTTCTCAATGAATATTGATACTGTGAGGCCAATGGTGATGTTTTTATTTTTTAATAGTTTCATACTCTAAGCAGAAAATTCTTAGCAAATAAAGTTTTGCAAAGGAAGGGAGACAAACACCTTATTTTTTTTTTAGTAGCACAACCTGTTTTAAAAAAAGCTGAATGTTGAATTGTAATCATGCATCCTTATACCTTTGCTTGTTATTTGGACAAGACTGGAAATAGAATAATTAGTAATATATAAATAATGTTTTCTATCAGTTCTTTTAAAATATGAGCTTTACAAATGGCCTTAATAGAATATTAAAATTAACTTTCTCTGGAAACCAACTTTTCTTATTTTAATACAGTAACTTGAAAGTGCCTATCCATTATAGCTTTGCTCATTCAGTCTTTGTATATGTCTGTACATGAGGAATTCTGTGGTCCTAAATATTTTACAAGACTTATATTTCAGGAAAAATATGGGATGCTGTGACATTACAGTACAAAATTAATTTATAGAAAGCTTTCCTCCAGAAAAGACCAAGGTAATATACTGAGAGTTTAAAGGAGTAATGAAACAGTTTATTACAGCTAAATTCTGGGCAATATGAGGATTGAGGATAAGAGACATTGCAGTGGGCTATGAAAATGGGGAACTGCTTTTGAAAGAGGTATGGACTGTCATGCCTAAGGAGCTAAACAACAGAAAGCACAATTTTTCAAGGATTTCTATTGAAGAGTAGATATTAAATAACAATTGACAGTACAATATATTATGGTCCCAGGGCTGATCCAGCAAACCCTTAGCTTGCTTTCTTTTCATCACACATCCAATTCATTCAGCAAACATCTAGAGAAAGCAATAGGATAAAATTATTAAAAATTAAGGCTTTATGTTACATATTACAAGTTTTTTCACATCTGCAAATGGGTCTACAATTGTTTAATGGCATTGTCTAAGGAAGTCTAAAATATGTTGCCTCTGCTAAGCACACTGGAAGAAACAGTTTTCACAGGACAGATTCTGAACCATGAAGAAATCTCATATTTATTGAGAATGAATGCATCTTCTTCTTCTTTATGACTGTGACAGCATATATTGTGTGCCTTCTGATTCACATTCAGAGCCCTTTTGTAGTGGCTCTGAGTTGTTCTTAAGCAAGCAACTTGGCAGGTGGTGTTGAGTAAAGTGTTCCCTCAGTGAACACAATAGACTGCCCTCTGGTCCCATAAAGTGGTTCTGTCTGGGGCAAAGGGCTTAAAACATTGCCTTCTAAGGAAAAGAACTCAGAAATTTGACCAAAAACGCTTTTCCAGAAGCAGAGTGGCTGATATTTTTCTGTCTATTAAGTCGGATCAGATAATAGAATCATAGAATGATTTGGGTTGGAAGGGACCTTAAGTATGATCAAGTTTTAACACATTCTGCTGTGGGCAGAGAGCCTTCCACTAAACAAGCTGCTCAAAGTCCCATCCAGCCTGACCTTGAGCACGTTCAGGGATAGGGCATTCACATCTTCTCTGGGCAACCTGCTCCAGGGTCTCACTAACCTGACAGTAATTAATTTCTTTCTAATCTAAATCTCTCCTCTTTTAGTTTAAATCCACTCCCCCTTGTCCTGTTACTATGTGCCTGTATAAAGTATCTCTGCCTTTTTTATAAGCCTCCTTTAAGTACTGGAAGACTACCAGACAGTCTCACTGGGGCTTTCTCTTCTCCAGACTGAACAACCCCAACTCTCTCAGCCTGTCTTCACAGGAGAGGTGCTCCAGCCCTCTGATCAACTTCATGTCCCTCCTCTTGACCTGCTTTAACAGGTTCAGATCTTTCCTGTGCTGGGCCCCCAGAGCTGATGCAGCACTGCAGGTGGGGTCTCAGCAGAGCAGAGCAGAGGGGCAGAATCCCCTCCCTGGCCCTGCTGCCCACACTGCTTTGGATGCAGCCCAGGGTGAGGTTTTTCTGGGCTGTGAGTGCACATTGACAGCTCACTCTGCTCATTCTCCCACTCTGTATTTGTGTTTGATACTGCCCCAACTGAGGTGCAAAACCTCGTACTTGGCCTTGTTAAACCTCATGAGGTTCCCACAGGCCCACTTCCTGAGCTTGTCCAGGTCCCTCTGGATGGCATCCTCTCCTTCAGGTGTGACAGCTGCAGCACTCAGCTTGGTGTCGTCTGCGACCTTGCTGAGGGTGCCCTCGATCTCACTGTCCATGTCATTGATAAAGATACTGAAGAGCACTGGTCCCAAGGCAGAGATGTCCCTGATGGACACCACTTGTCACCAGCCTGCACCTGTACAAAGACCCAAGAGGTATTTAGACAACAGAATTACAATGGTTGCTAAAACATCAATGATAGTGGTGACCCAAAGTTGAAGAGATAAGAAAGTCTACCTGGTCATAGATATTTTGAGAATTTTTTCCTCCCTCACCAGTCTTTTGATTTCATAAAAATCATCACCAGAATAAAGTTCATGGGAAAGACTGTCCAGTAGCTAAAAGTGCAAATGAATGTAATGGAAGAATAGAGAATCGAATGGAGAATCAGATAAAAAGGTTGTACAAAACTAGACACATAACACACAGAGAAAAAAAAAGCAAATATATGTGTGGCTCTCTGGAAAAGGTGTCAATTCAGTAGGAAAGTTTGAAGGAGGAGCCTTTCCTGGAAAACTTAGGAAAGGAAAAAAAGCAAGTAATCAGAGAGAAAAGAATAAAAATAGAGGTCACATGTAGTGATGATAAAAGGGATCGTGAGAGCCAGGAAGCGGTTCTGAAGAGGGAATCAGGATGATTCTCAGAAGATGCAGGACAGAAAAAAGATGCACAATTACCTCAATAAGAAGGCAGAGCAGAAGGAGACAGTAGACATTTCCAGCAGCAGGGAAGGACAAGCCTGAACCTTACACGAAAAAAAAAATTAATTAAAGAGACACGAGAGCACAGAAAATGAGGCTGCCTGCCAGGAGAAAGGTTGCAGTGTGCAGGCCTGAGAGTGAAAAGGATCATGAACAGAACAGAGACTAATCTTCTGACCATACTTTCTGTCAGGAAAATAAGGTATCAGATTCTTACTAGAAAATACTGAAACATCACTGAGATTCAGTGCAGGTGAATTCAGTGAAGATGATTTTTATCCACAGAAGAAAAAAAAATTGTAAAGACACTAGAGACTAAAAATAAAGCAAAGAACAAAAGCAATATTAGCAATGTTTGTTGCAACATGAGCATTTATACCTTCTCTTTTTACTGATGTCTACATTCCATCTAAATACCGAGGTGCTAAGACTTCCAAGATTACTAATACAAGCTTTCAGTATCATGGAATGCCATATGCAATCTCTATGTGTGGCTTTAATTCACTGGAAAGTGAAAACTAGAGACATCACAAATATAGGAGAAGGAAATATGAGAGTGAAGGTATGATGGCAAGAAGATGGAAAAGGCTGTGCTGATTACAGTGATGGCCAGGCTGGCTTTCTTTAGCAGGCATGGCTATACAAGTGAGCTACACAGGAAAGACAAAATAAAAGTAAGAATTTGAGTATCATAACGTGCTGATAATGTACCAGCAAATACAAAGTCAGTGTTTAGATAAAACAGAATAACCTTGGGTTCTGTGTAATTTTGGAAAAGGACAATTTAAAAAGTTGGAAGTAAAGCTAGAGGTCAATTGCTGATTACCCTGATCGATTTGGATGCTGAGAAAGACCTTTCTAATTGTTGAAAAAATATTAAAGGATGTTGTTATTTATGAGAGAATTTAGCTGTTCAGAGTGGTTTGGATAGTAAAAACTAATTAGTAAGGACTAATGACCTTGTGTTCTGGCTGTGCTAA